GCCCCTTCCAACTCAATTATTCTCTGATTCTCTGATTTGCATTACAAAAAGATCTAAATCTTAGGAGAATGCTTTAAACTTTAAAGTCTAAAAAATATTCTAAAAGAAGGCAAGGAAGCAATAAGCACAGAAAGCCCTGTTGAATGATACAGTTCTGCATCCATTATTTTGGCTGAAACAGATTAAAACGGCTAGGCTACCATCTAGAATTTAGATTCTGGCCATTTACTGATACTAGTTTTCTCCAGATGAATTCATGTATTTCTAAATTAGGGATGTACAACCTGTCACCCGCCATCTTTTGCTTGGATGCACATCCTATCACCAGTCACCACTGGTTATGCTGGCTAGGGCTGGTGGGAGTTGGAGCTGAACAACATCTAGGTTTGTGACACATGTTCCACACCTTTGTTTTAAGGACTTAAATAGGGAAGGAAACACAATAGCTCAGGATATTTAGCTGAATGGGCATCCTGACTGCATGAAGTCCCTACATTTTTTGCATATGTTTGCATCCAAAACATCAGGACTGGGCTAACATGAGGACAGCATGTGCAGAAAGGCACTCAAGCATGCACATGTAGAGTATTCATGTCCTGCTTTGGACCATGGATACTGTACATGCAATTAACGCACAAGGAGAGTTTCACTGCTGACAACACTGAGCTAAATGCACCAAGGCTCTGGCTTGGTGTAACACATTTCCCTGTATATTTATAATACATGGTGAGCATGTGGAGTGAATTTAACTGAAGGATGTTATATAAGAATGAAACCTCTTGAATGGTAAGGATTGTTACACAGCAACGATCGCTGGTACAAGAGCAAGGGTTTTCTTTAGGTTTGGTCCCCTCAAGGATTATCTGGTAGAAACGAATTGTTGTCGTTTGAAATTGGAAGAAAAGCATTTGCTATTCCCTTCCCTTTCCCCAAGTTCCCTACTGATTTAACTTAAAAAGAAATCCAGGAAGCCAAGTTTAGATGTTATGCAACAAGAACTAGAAAGGCCTTGGCTACAGATCAGGTTTATCTGAACCACCAAAAAGAAAAAGCACAGCTTCAAGCCAATAAAAAAGATCATGGTTGTGTTTCATCTTTAATTGTAGCTGACTGATGGAAAACTGAGGTTTAGACAGGAGAGCCGGTAGCCAGCAGCATGAAGCAGCTGGCCTGTTGACTGAGAATAGCTAATGTTTAAGACTTCAATGCCCCTTTGGTGAAACAATGCAGGAATCAAAATAGCTGAAGTACAGCAACAAGGTACCTTTCAAGAGATTGCCCCGATTAAATCCAGACACTGAAAGATTTCCAAAGGTTGGATTCATGAAACAGAGATCCCATATTATTTGATGGTTTATTCTGATGCTAAGTGTTAAGCACTTTTGGGTCACAGAATTTTGTTTAGTCTGTTAATTTTTAAATGTCTTAGTGCCATTCCTTTTTTTCTTCTATTAAAAAGAAGAAAAGAAACAGCACAAAAAGAGACAAACACAAGGATAAACTAATGGAATTATCAACAAGGTATTCCTTGAAGCTCAGTCAGCACTCATTAAAAACTAATCAGCAGCCATGTGTAAAAGATGAGCAGCCAAATCCAAAATAAATCAATAAAACCAGTTTGCCAAATGAGAACAAAATTAAGAACAGATTTAATGCAGAATATAGCTTTAACAGATTTGTGCTAGGGAATGCCTGGATTGAACATCTCTGGAAATGCCTGAAACACCTTTCAGCTTTTCCATGATGAGTTTTGGAACAACCTTAGCCCTAGTATACAAATACCCTTAGATTAAAGAATATTACCCAAGCCCTCCCTGCTCTTATGCATTGCTGAAGGCTGTACTCTGTTGTATACTATAGAGTGCATTTTTAGCAGTGGCACCTGGGTTGTAGAACACTCTCTCCAGAGAGGCTTGCCTGGCGCATATACTTTATTGCTGTTAGTTCCTGGTTATGCCATTCTTATTTTCTGAAGTCCATCAGTACTTTTTTAGGTGTTCAGTACTTCTAAGTCCTTCAGTACTTTTTCAATTTTACTGCTGCTGTTGGATTTACTTGGGTTAAAATTTCAATAAAACCCAATACTGAGGTTTGAAGTTCCTCCCCCTTCTAACCTACTCAATCCAAAAATTGTTCTAGTGAAGCCAGAGCTTCTAGGGTCAGTGTGCTAAGACTTTTTGATTAGCCACATTGTTCATATAATTTTCTCCCTCCAATGATGATCGTCTGATTCTCTTGAATCATAGAATGGTAGAGCTGGAAGAGTCTACAGGGTTCAATACGTCCAACTCCCTATAGAAGTCGGAAATCTACAGCTAAAGCATCCCTGACAGATGGGCCTCGAACCTCCACTAAAAACCTTCCAGTGAAGGAGAATTCACTGCCTTTGATGGAATTCTATGGCATTATTGAGCAATTTTTCTTGTCAAGAAGTTCTTCTTCGTGTTTGAGAGGGGAAAACAACTTCTAACTTGAATCCATTGCTTTGTAGCTTGCTGTCTGGGATCACAGAACACAAGCTTGTTTCATCTTTCTCATGACCACCTTTCTAATATTAAAAGATGGCTACTCTGTCACTTTTTCCCTCTCTTCTCCAAGCTAAACATAACCAGCTTCCTCAAGTGATTTTGTGGCCCTTCATTTCTGGACCTTTTATAGTCATGGTCATCTTCTTCTGGACAGGTCAGCTGCAACAGTTTTCTGTTTAGTGGTGATCCTTACAGTAGCTGGGTACTGAATTTTTACAACATAATGTATTGTTATCAGCAGTCTCTAATGTGAGGCAAAGCATTATTGCCCTTGAATAGGCAATTAAGACCTATTCACTTTATAAAAGACCTGCTCCTTGTAGAAATGGAAACTGCTGGAACTTGTTGTTTGATATGTATTAAGGCATCTATTGGAATCTTTGGATTTTCTCTGGAGGCATAGCTATGGGGGCCGTAATGATAAGTGCTTTCAATTACTACGTATTTCACCAGTGAATATAAATAACCTGTTGTACACAGAAAGTGCTTCATTGATTTCACAGTTGACTGTCACCATGAATATAACATATTACTGTTTCAGCACACAGCAGTTTACTTAGTATCTGGCAGGATGATACAGAGAACAGCTGTTTGAAAAAGGCTGGTCATTGTTCTATTTATAATCTTTCAAAATTATGAGGGAAATTATTAGCACAGATAGGGTACAGTAGGTGGTAAAATCTGGGATTACATTACAACTCATTTACAAAATCATTACATGCATGCTGTGGTGAATTAACACTCGATAAATTATAAAATGTATTTGTTCATAATATCATATACATTCAGTTACTAATGGTATAATTTGTGGTTTATGGATTTTTTAAAAAAGAACGCTAAGTCTTACATAAATAAAAGAGTATAGCTTATAATAGCAATATTGGAAGGCATTTTTGCCTGACTGAAGAGAGCAGCAGTTCAGTACTAAACAATGCCAATGTACTATAATAATTATAGCTGGATTATAATGCATGATTCCTTACTGATCTATGAATTTGGCTAGCTCATGGGGTTGCGAAGAGTCGGATACGACTTCATGACTAAACAACAACAACCTTTAGGCAGAGTGAGGTGACTGTCTGAGGAGCAAGTTTGGGGCTTTATGAAAGGACAGCAAATTGTTGCTGAGTTTTTACTCTGTTTTAATTACCAGGATGGAGAGGCATAGCTACAGAACTTTCTGCCTCAAACTTAGCTGTTTTTGAGTACTATGCACTTTGCCTATGGATGGATAAGGAACATCACTTGCCATTCAGCCTCAAGTCAACAAAATGATGTGGGCCAGGCCTGTCTCTCTGTGTAACTTTCTTTGTGGAGTTATTACAATGAAAGAATGGAAGAAAAGAACCATGGTCATTATCCTGAGCTACTTTGAGGAAAAGTGGGAAAGAAATTTCCCAAATAAGAACCTAATCACTAGACAATTAACACTGACAATTTTCTCTTGTTAAATTTCCATCCTGGCACGTTTTCCAGAGAAACTTTCCCGTCTGGTTCTCCACATAAACCTACATTAGGCTTCTTATGACCCAGTAATGTTCGAGGCTTTCCCATTTCTATAAGTCATGTAAAGGAATATAAAATGGCAGATGCTAGTGCTGAAATAGAAAATAGGCTTTTAATCTTTTTTTTTTCAGGGGAAATTATGCCTTCTTTAGAAAGTTGCATGATAACTAATTACCAAGAAGTGCTGCATTCACAACAACTTTGAGGCAATAATTTAAGAACATTATATACACAGATATTTGAATCATGTGTATGTGTGTGTAAAATATTTTGGTTAGATGGCTTTTTTGTGTAGGTATTTTTCCTTCCGTTTGATCTTCTAGTGAGACGAAAAGTAGATCCAGGTGTACTGAGCTGCTGATAATTCAATGATGGGAAATATTTTCAAATAACACACTAGACTCCACTTCCTAATAGGGATGGGAAATAATTTTGTCAGGCTTGATATTCCTGCTGAAATTATCAGTTCTACGCTTCATGAGACTTGTTACAAGGCAAGATATAATTTCCTCAGAAATGTGCATATCTGCAAGGTCTGGAATACATTTCAGTGATAATAAATATATAGAAAGTTGAAATTTTACAGAGTTGGAAAATATGCATAAAAATGCCTTAATCTCTGCAGGAAATGCATACAGAGATGCATATTATATGCATTGCAGACTCATATAGATACTGGGAAAAGCATGCACAGAAAATGTACATGATCTTCCATAGGTGAACAGGAAAAAAAACAGCTTGGAACCCAATTCAAAAAAAAGGATGGGATAAGAATAGCAGTAGGATTCAGAAAAATGCAACAAAACAAAGACTGCAAGGTTTTTGCATAATTACTTTTAAGTAAGAATATCTACACTTTGGCAACAAATAGTGGCAAGTGATTTTAAAGTACAGTATTATTATCTAACACCTTGGCATTTTGGATGGATATGTAGGACAAAATGACATTGCAGCTATGTTACTTACCTGAAAATGAAAAATTCCGGCATAATCGTGTTTGAATCCTTGATCTTTTGGAATGATACGATCTAGGAAGCGCTGCTGTCGGGTCACAGATCCCAGAGCTGCTAGAACCCAGCAGTCACCTTGAAAAATACGGAAGACAAGTTACAATCTCATGATCATTTCTCTAAAGTTCATAGGAAGATCTAGAACATAGATGAGCTTAGAATAAATAAAAGTTACAACTAGGAAGAAATAAATTGAAATCATCCACACAAGAGATGACCTAGGTACCGAAAAGGGTTTAACAGCTAATATGGAAAAGAGAAACCAGACATTCTGCTTACTTCAGAAGAACATAAAGAGTCAAGCAGATTATTTAGCTCTGGTTCAGGATCAGATTAGATCAGGGTGGTGCCAGGTTTAGCTACATGCAACTGGGCTGGAATATATGGTCTTCTTGGCCTTCTCCTCCCCACGACAGACCATCCAATCCCTAAAGGTCAGAGACCCAGGTGAGTGTGATGATCAAGGAGGAGAGGATAAATCCCTGAATATTGGACAGAAGCACCTCCCATGATCAAAGCTGACAGAAGGCAGGTCTTGGGTCTAACCAATTATTCTTCTTGCACAAAAATCACCAGATAACAAGGAGCATCAACCCAAGTTCAACCAAACCTGACCATGCACAGGTTTATTTTTGCTTCCATTCTGACCAATGTTTGTTGCTAGGACCAGTAAAACTAAAGTTAACCATAATACCTTTCTCCTGTTGATTTCAATGAGGCTAAAGCATGACAGTCTAGGTATGGATTCAATCAAGTCTCCATATAGAAGAAAAGCCACTTGGCAAGGGTAGCTTCCGGGGCACAAAACTGGGGAAGGGGAAAGGTGAAGAAGCCCCTCCCACTGACAGTCGGCTACTCCTAATGGAAAGCTCCGATTATACTCTGAAGTTATTTTCAAAAGGAACTGTTCATGTGTTCTGTATTCTCTTGCTTGTTTTCATCACAGAAGGTGCTTCTCTGTATGTGTGAACCAGGGCAGCAGAACACTTCAAGACACCCTTGGAATGACCCAGCAAAGGATAAAACTGGATTTTCCATCATCCGTCCCCTCTGCTACCTTTTTAAAATTCCTTTTATTATTTTGCCACTATAGGAGATCAGACGCAGTTCAATAGGGATCAGCTGTGAGGCTATCCTTTTTATTTTCTCCCCATATCCAGGCTCTTGGTGCTTTCCATCTTTCCTTCCTAGCACTTACCAAATCTGCCTTTTCTTTTTCCGCGTCAGCTGCTAAAAACCTTTTGCATATCCAGGTCATCTCTCATGGAGACAATTTCAATTTGTTCCTTGCTAGTTTTGCCTTCCATTACCTCTCAGCTCAGTCTCCTGGAATAATTTCCTCTTCCATCACTCTGACCGTCTAACCTCTCTTTCGTTTCTTTCTCTGCACTGACTCAGCACCTCTTTCCACAGTACTAACTCCCATGTTTCTTCCTAAAGTTCTCCGACATAGTGTATTAACTTTATCTATTTCCTCTTTCCAACTTACATCCTGTCACCTTCACAAGCCTGTTACAACCAATTTTTTTTCCTCTCCTCCTGGCTTCGTATTTGTGTTTTCATTTCCTGCTTCTTCCCATACTCCAGTGAGCATTCTGCGCTTAACAGCCCTTTTCTTTAGAACCCATTCCTAGTGAAAACTCAATTTTGCAAAACATTTATTTCACATACCAGAGGTGTTCTTCTTCCAAACAGCATTTTTCTCTACCAGCTAATACTATATCAGCTTTTAAAATATATATTTATTAAACTGCCACATCAGTTCCTCCCCCACACCCCCGCAATCAATTGCAAATCTGCTCGATAAAACCTGGGGCACACAATTCTTTTGTTTTCCTTTGAAATCAGTGGGACTTCAAAGGGCCAAACTTTGGTGGGCTTGTGTCCTGGTTGATCATAACAGGGCTTACTCCTGCACCTTCAACCCTGTGGAAGGTAACCATCACTATTCCTATTAAGAACAAATGGAGCATACCAAAAGACAAGTAAAAAAGAGACATGATGGAAGCATATAAAATACTGTATGCATGGAGTGGAGAGGGTGGGAAAGGAAATGGCATTTCTACCTCTTTGATCATGTTAGATGCTTGGGAGGTCTGATGAAGCTAAATGATGGGAGATTCTAAGCAGAGAAAATGGAATAGTTTGTCACACTTTACAGTTAAACTGCAGAAGCCATTACCACAAAATATGATTACAGTCACCAATTTAGATGGCTTTTAAGGGGGAGTTAACCCAAAAAAGTCAAGAAAAATAAGGCTATCAGCAACTAACACCCAGGACCAGGGGCTGGGAAAAATGCTATTGTTTTTGGGCTAAAACTCCGTTGCCTACTGGCTGTGCTGCCTGGAAGATTCTGAGAGGTGCCGTAAGCCCCAGTCATGGTTGTTGTATCCCAGACTGGGAAGAACCATGCTTATGAATGCCACGTGTTGTGGAGCAATAAGAGGAAGGAAAAACTATTGTGTTCCTAGCTTGCTTCTGAAGTATTCATATTGATTTGGTTGATCATTGTGAAAAAGACAATGTTGAACCAGGGAGACCTTGGGTTCACCAGGGCTCTTCTAGCATTCTTATATTCTATTAATTTGTGGTGGTGGTGGTGGTGGTGAGGGTCAGGATCACACCATAGTGATCACAATACATCAAAAATGGGAAATAGAATCTACAGATGTGCACATAGTATCTCTACAACTACATGGAGAAGTTACTTTTTAAGATTACAGCTCCAAAAATCTTTCATCCTACATGGCCAATGGCTATGACTTCTTCAAGTCTGGATTTGCGTTATACACGTCAAGGCACAGATCCATGTTCAGGATCTGTTCAAATATTCTGACAAGATTGGAGGCAGGCAAGCAGACTCTATCCTGCATCCCTCACACATACCCATTGTACCTTCCACAAGATCAGAATAAGGGTACAAATAATTAACTCTTGTACAACAACCATAAAAATAGTGCACAAGCCAGTTTCTTTATGACAGTATTTATCTGTATTCTATAGCATTGCAATGAATGAATAAATGTTGGTAAGATACGACAGCAAAGAGAAGATAGCACTTCTTCAGATAAAGTCCAGTCACTCCTGAGATTGAAAACAGAATTTGCATCCTACCTACTTGCCCTTGACAAATATCAAATCTGCTCACACCGTCCACAATTAAAAAGGGGTTCTTCTGTTTAACCTTAAAAAGAGAAAAGACAGGGAATAGCATGAGTTTCTATCACTTCATAGTAGAATAGACCTATATTGAATTGAATTTAACTTTTCATTGCTCCATCTGAACAGTTTTGTACTCTAATTAAGGGCACAACCACACAGGCATATAGCTCACTATTTGGATCGCTTTTGATGCTGTTTGCTTCAGATTAAATTACAACGTCCACACATGTTTTGACTTGCAGTGATCTATCCTGCCCCTTTTTAGAGTGGTCCCACTCCTTTTTTTTGGCACAGCATTATGGTTACAGGATTTTTGTTTCTCCCCCCCCCCATGCTTCAGAGCATTCCTAATTATCATGTTGTTTAGCCCTTGCAGCTCATTAATTCACACTCAAATAGAGCTGTGGGTGATATTATCTGAGGTGACAACCCTATGACATAATTTGTCGGTTGTGCTATTGAAGAAGGTGAGGAAGAGGTGGGAATTGCTGCTTTTCCTTACCAAGAACTGAGACATCTATTTCTGCCTCATCTTATCCTCCCCATTTTCAACCCATTGGCTGTGGGCTGATGTTGTGCCCAGTTGCTCAGAGGGAAGTGAAAATGAAATGGACTTTTTGAAGAATTGATGTTTGCATCAACACCTGCCAATGAACATCTGAGGCAAACTTCTGTACCTTTTTTGCTCCCTCCAGCCAGTCCCCTCCTCCTCCTCCTTGCTCGCTTGCAATCTGTACAAACAGGCCTGGGAGAGAGAGGGAAAGAGAGAGTGGAAGAGGGAGGACTGCTGGTGTTTGGCTCCTCACCTTGTTTTGTTTTTGATCTCCACTAATATCTGCTAAAAGAATAACTTTTAATTTTACTCCTGCAAATGGTGCAGCCACTTGTTTTCCCTTCCATTTTGCATCTCTTTTGTAACCATAATAAACCAAACTTTTGTAACTATAATAATCCTTCCCCTCCTCTATTTTCATATACTCTACCATTTTAATTTTTTTAAAAAAATATTTTTCCTCCTCTATTTTCATTTACTCTACCATTTAAATTTTTTTAAAAAATCTTTTCCTATTGGTTTTATTTATTTGTCTTATTTATAAGCCACCTTTCTCCTCACTGATGCACTGCTATTCTAGGTGAACAAGTGGTGGTATTATGTATACCATGCTAAGAAGAAGCATTATTGTTTCACTGTGTCACTTTATTTAACAACAACAAAAAGGAAAGTTGCTGTGATCTGCTAAATTATGGCTATGTGGAAAGAGAGGGAAGGAGGCAGAAAGGAGTATCATAAATTGAAAAGGGGGGGGGGAGTTGGAATTATCCAAAGACCTATCTGGACCCTTCTCGTAGGAGGAAAAAAATGATGATCAGTGTGAATGAAAGAAAAATTCAAGTGAGAGATACAATATATCACACTAAAGATTGTTTGTTGTTGTTTAGTCATTAAGTTGTGTCCAACTCTTCCTGAACCCGTAGACCAGAGCACTCCAGGCCCTCCTATCTTCCACTGCCTCCCGGAGTTGTGTCAAATTCATTCTGGTAGCTTCGATGACCCTGTCTAACCATCTCGTCCTCTGTCGTCCCCTTCTCCTCTTGCCTTCACACTTTCCCAACATCAGGGTCTTTTCCAGGGAGTCTTTTCTTCTCATGAGATGACCAAAGTATTGAAGCCTCAGCTTCAGGATCTGTCCTTCCAGTGAGCACTCAGGGCTGATTTCCTTCAAAATCGATAGGTTTGTTCTCTTTGCAGTCCAGGGGACTCTCAAGAGTCTCCTCCAGCACCACAGTTCAAAAGCATCAATTCTTGGGCGGTCAGCCTTCTTTACAGTCCAGCTCTAAAGATAAGGACCTTTTAAGTGAAGACCAGCCTACTTCAACTTCCCCCATCTGGATGTGAGCGGAGTTCTCCTCAGGAGATAATCTCTCACCAAGGGCAGAGAGGGGATTTGAAGAGTCCACCATTCCTTTGCAATTTCTTATGCCTTCCATTAGGGGACTCTAGAGAAGTGGGGGTGGGGATGATGGAGGGAGGTATCAGTGAAAATTGCTTACTTTTCCTTCTGCCTGAAGGAACCACAACTAGAATGAAAACCTTTTGTGAGCAGGTACATGGAGTAGTATCTCTGCTTTTCATCATGATATGTGCTGTTCTAAAAGATAATCTGTCCATTTCCCTTCTGGAGAAGTGCTCTATCTCTACACTGAGGAAGCATTTGACCTTGGGATGCTGCACAGTTTTCCTTTTTCTATTTTACCAAAATTCCCATTAGCAGCGGAAGCACAAGTCCATTCACAGTTTTGAACACCTTTTCTCCCCCCCTCCCCAATGAGCAACAACCTGAGGGCTGATATTCAAATCAGAAACAACAGGAAAGTGTCATTGTTGCTAATCCTAGCCAGAAAGACAGATGCATGAAAGAGTGAACAAGAAAATGTATTAAAAGTGGGCTTCTAAATTTCTGGCTTCTCTTCTTAACAAAACTTAAGGCACACCTTCTTTGTGACAAGTAAAGTGAAACAGAATATCTCCTTACACCTTTATCAAGTTAAAAGAAATTATTTTTCTGCGGTGTAAGCTGGAAGAGCTTGCAATTCATCACATTTTTAAAAAATCTACATTGTTTTGTCCTAAGGCTCAAGTCAAGATGCTGATTTAACTGCTAAAGCTCCCAAAGGCTTAGGACAGAGGTGAGCAGCATGGGGGCTGTGGGATTCATATAGTGGCAGGAGCCCCAAATTCGTGGTCCCTAGGAGCCCCCACACATAAAATCTTTAAAAACATTGGGGTGCAGGAAGGATCAGAAAGCTTCCCTATGCCGCCTAGCAGGCATGCAGTCAAGTTTGCCTTGTTTTGAGAGTACACCAGCATGCAGGAGGCCCAGATACCCCCAATTGTAAAAACTAAAAATTATTTCCATATTAGAGCATTCAAGGGAGCTTTTTCAATAAAAAGCTCAACATCTATAAGGAAAATGACTGGCAGGGGCCCTCCAAAGTGGGTGGATGTGCCGCCAAACCTCTGGAGATTGTCCATCCCTGGCATAGGATGTAGGTACTGAACAGACAGCCTTCTGCATACTCCACTCAGTAGCAAATGCCCATCTTGGGATTCTCAAGCTATGAGCATTCAATAGGCAGGGTGAGAAGCAGTACCACTTCTGGAACACCTTTGTAGATCAGATCTATACTTTGGGATAGATGCCTTTGTGGGTTTCCCTTAATAAATCTATCAAGGAAGTGTGTTGATCTCTCGTAAGCTAAATGAAATGTTCATACATGCGATTTTTACATACAGTATACCACATAGCCCATGTTTTTTTAATATTCAGCAGGTACAGTTATTCTCATTATGGAGAATACCATCTTGTAACTGCTGCTGTGTCACAATTAAAGAACAGAAAAAGGGGATGGTAGCCCTAATTTATCACAGGATTCAATGTCAGGCTTTTAAGCACCAGCCAGGCAAAACCTCTCCCTGGTTGGGTCAACCTGTCATTTTCACTTACTTTCACATTCCATTATTTAAAAAAACATACAAAAAAACCCAAAACCTCCACAAAAACCCAAAAACCTCCACAAAAAACTGATATTCTTTTCAACAAATTTATGCCGACATTTTCAAATCTGGAATTTTTTTTCTTTTAATAGCCATGAATAAATTTTTTTCCTCTGTCTCTACCAGCAATGTAGATCTTCAGATGCTTTGTTAAATTTTAAATATTTGAGTGATTATCTTCTATTCCTTTTGGTTTATCTTTTCTGATTACTATTTGATTACTCTTTGACTGTTGCTTTACAAGTTGCTATTCATAGTAATAGTAGCTTATCAGTAAAAGCAGCAGTAGTAACCAATGCATTGGCTTCATTTGGGCAAAATCTGACTCTCACCTTCATTCTAATGCCCTCTCTCTATCTCTGAACTCATTTACGTTATTGAAATACGTCAGAATACAATTCAAAGTCACATGGCAATCACACTGTATTTGAATTGCCATGTGTGTTCCCTTGGGCAACTTTTAATCCAGTGTGTGTTTTTAACAAGGCTTCCTTCCTAATAGTTGGGGAGAAAGAATGAGCAGCAGTGACTGTGTGTGTGGAATTGTTCTTGTCTGAAGAACAGGTGAAAGCGCAAAGCATGCTGCTTATATACCGCCCCATAGTGCTTCAAGCACTCTCTGAGCGGTTTACAAGTTAATTATGCAGGCTACACATGCCGCCCCCCCCCCAGCAATCTGGGTACTCATTTTACCGACCTCGGAAGGATAGAAGGCTGAGTCAACCTTGAGCCGGCTACCTGTGATTGAACCCCAGGTCGTGAGCACAGTTTTGGCTGCAGTACAGCAGTGCCACTGTGCCACTAGGCTCAGGTGGTGTTAAGAACTGGCTCTCCCTACACACACAATCTTTTTCAAGAAGGAGGGTGCAATGGAGAAAACCAAAGACTATTCTCTTTCTCCTGGAGCCCAAATGGTGAGGAAAGAGATGTCAGTGAGAGGATGAGAGAGCTATGAGCAAGCAGCCTTGACCTCCTGTCGCCTAACCCCTCAGCAGCAGGAAACACAAAAGCAAAAGCAAAGTGTGCTGCTTACATATTACCCCCCCACACAGTGCTTAAAGCTCTCTGTGGCGAGAAAACCAAAGACTATTCTCTTTCTCCTGGAGCCCAAATGGTGAGGAAAGAGATGTCAGTGAGAGGATGAGAGAGCTATGAGCAAGCAGCCTTGACCTCCTGTCGCCTAACCCCTCAGCAGCAGGAAACACAAAAGCAAAAGCAAAGTGTGCTGCTTACATATTACCCCCCCCCCCAGTGCTTAAAGCTCTCTGTGGCTGGTTTGCAATTTTTAATTATGCAGGCTACACACTGTCCTCCCTGCCAGCAAGCTGGTTACTCAGTTTCTTGACCTTGGAAGGATGGAAGGCTGAGTGAACCTTGAGCTGCCAACCCGGGATTGAACCTGGTTTGTGAACAGAGTTTTGACTGCAGTACTGCAGTTTAACCACTGTGCCATCATCCAGTCCAAG